AAAGATTATGGACCAGTTTGACAACTTTTGGGCCCATGGTCCAGTTAGTGGCATGCTACCCACCACACCAGTTCATAATCCCTGACAAAGCTCCCTCCAGAGGGTCTTGCAGGGCAAAGGTGAGCCAAAGGGGCTCCTTCTTGGCCTTGGCCCAATGTTTCCAGCCATGGGGCTTTACTTTCCCCTTGCAGCCACTCTTGATGAGTGGATTTGCTATCCAAGGGATGCTATTGCTATTTTGCCATTATTTTCCTTGCTCTGCTACAGTGAGGTCTTTCAGGGCTGGAGAGCTACAAGGACACCCTGTGAGGACTCGTGCTGAGGGCAATTTTGGAGCAAAACAGCTCATCTGAAGGCAGCTGCTAGAAGGGTCAGATGGATGCTTCATGGGGAGAACCTGGTGCCTGCATCTGCCCAAGGGAGCGAGAGGAGCGAAGGGGAGAACGTGGGTCACAAAACGCAGCCTCTTCTCTTACCACCATCCCTCTGGTCAACCATTACTTGCAATTACAAACCAGGATTACGTCTTCATTCCTAATTAGCTGCTTTGCTCATCCTGATTCCTCTATACCTCTGAGGATGTGGGTGGAGGAAGGAGCCAGTGCAGAAACACAAGGGGTGTGTCTCCCCAGTTTCCAAATTCCCCAATTATTAGCTATTTTCTGCCTGTTAGCAGTCAGGTGTAATGATATATACATGAAGGGGAGGGGAAAAAGCTGATGGAATTATTTCATTTTTTTTTTTAAAGCCCAGAATCAATGTTTACACACCAGAGCTAAATTATTTATACACATAATGTTATAGCTTTCACATTGGTGGCTTTTATTATCATTCGGTGGATGAGATATCATTCTTGACCTACTTGTACAAACACCTCTCATGCTTCTCCACAATGACAAATTGGTGGGGAAGGGGTGAAGGCATTCCCCCCAGCCTGGCTGTGGGGATGCTTGAGAAGAGGAAGAGCCAGTGGAGGGAGAAGGGGTGTCTTGACACCTCCTACAAGACATTTTGCTACTTTAGATTTGGGGGACAACATGCACAAGGGGGTTAATTTTGAAAAGTCTCGCAAAATCCTGGCTAACTCTGTCTCTCTAGGAGGACGTGGCTCCACAGGTTTTTCCTAGGGCTGTGCCCCCTCCTTTCGCCAGTGAAGGAGAGACGTGCTTCCCAGTGAGGCATCACAACCCAGGCAGAGGGTAGGGGGTAGGTTTTTGGGTGAGAAAAACCTCATCAGGACCACCTATCCCCAAACAGCTGTGGCGTGACAGTGTATGTTCCCCCCCAAAGACTCAGACAGCCATTTCTAAACCAGCATGTCACAGGCACTTGAGATGACTTTCTTCTTGTCTTGCAATTAATGCATTTTTTATGAAGCTTAGGCTCCAGTTTCCTTTCATGTTACCAGGAGGATATCCTTTTTCCTTTTAAGCTTCAGAAGGATTTTTTTTCATGCAAAGTATTAATCTCTAGTATCCTGTACACAGGACAGAGGGATGCACTGGCCAAATTTTCCGGTAAGGATGCTGGAGCTTGGCTGGAGCCCACATGTGGGTGCTGGCAACAGCACTTGCTCCATCCCAAAGTTGTTTCAACAGGTGGAAGTGCAACCTTGCAGCAGTATTTGCTGGAGGCTTTGCAGCACAGATATTATTTACTGCCTTGTGGATCCTGGTGCACAGCAACATTTTTTGCTCCTAATCATATCTTAAAGATGGGCATGGAACTTAATGTTACAAACAACGGCGTATTAACCGATTGAAAAAAAAACAAGCCAAGTGAAGCTACATGGGGATGACTTGATGTACAGAGCAGGTTAGTGAAAATATTGTTGATGGATTTGGTCCATCAAGCTGGAGGATCAATGATCATATGAATGATGAGTGGCATTCAGATCTGAAGCCAGTGTGTGGGCATGTGAAGGGGCCTGGCAATGGCTGTTGACCTTGGCAGGCTGAAGGAGTGGGCCCGTGTGAACCTCGTGCAGTTCAACACGGCCAAGTGCAAGGTCCTGCACATGGGCCAGGGCAATCCCCGCTGGGCTGGGGGGTGAATGGATTGAGAGCAGTCCTGCAGAGAAGGACTTGAGAATGGATGGGTGGATGAAAAATTGGAGATGAGCGGGCAATGTGTGCTCACAGCCCATAAAACCAACTGTGTCCTGGGCTGCATTGAAAGAAGCGTGACCAGCAGGTAAAGGGAGGTCATTCTCCCCTCTGCTCTGCTCTCGTGAGACCCCCCCTGCAGTGCTGCATCCAGCTCTGGGGTCCCCAACATAAGAAGGACACGGACCTGTTGGAGTGGGTCCAGAGGAGGCCACAAAGATGGTCAGAGGGCTGGAGCCTCTGAGAGGCGGGTCCGGCTTGGAGCTGGGGAAACTTTTAGCGGTTTCTCACAGGGGCCATCTCTATAGCTACCAGAACAGACTTTGAGCTGGAGGAAACTTAGCAGTCACCTACACGAGCCACCGCTGTGGCCCCTCCCCTGCCACCAGACAAACCCACAACATGGGGGCTTTCAAGAAAGCTGGAGAGGGACTTCTTACAAGGGGATGTTATGATAAGACAAGGGGTAAAGGCTTTAAACTGAAAGAGGGCAGATTTAGATTAGATATTAGGAAGAATTTTTTTTCCTGTGAGGGTGGTGAGGCAGTGGCCCAGGTTGCCCAGAGAAGCTGTGGATGCCCCATCCCTGGAGGGGTTCAAGGCCAGGCTGGATGAGGCTTTGAGCAACCTGGGCTAGTGGGAGGTGTCCCTGCCCCTGGCAGGGGGGTTGGATCTCGATGATCTTCAAAGGTCCCTTCCAACCCAACCATTCTGTGATTCTGTGATTTTGTTGCTCTTTCAGTGCTCCCCATGGAGCAGGACTGAGCTGACTCACACCATGTCACACAGATGCACAATGTCCGTGAGGCTTCAGCCGCTTTGTGCAGCCACTGAAGTGTAAGGGAAACTCTTGCTGGACTTTTTACCAGAGATTTATCCCTAGCGCTCCTTATAGAAAGCAGAAAAGTTGTGGTGAGCCACACTTTCACTTGACTGGCTTCTTGTAATTGACGGAAGATTATCAGGAACATGGTTTTGCAGGAAGTATTTTCTAAGACTAAACAACATTTGATGAGGATGTGATAATAAATTACCAAGCATACATCTTTGCAGCTACTCCAAATTATGAGTATCGGCTAGTCCTGCCTATGTGTTGTTTCCATAGAAGCAGAGCTTAACCTTTTAAGTGCAGATTATAAAGGCACCTAATTCAATTAAAATTAGACTTCAAGCATATCAGCACTTAAGAGTTATTATCTGATTGGATATAGATGTTGTTGTGATTGGTAGGCAGCATGGTTTCCATCTGAGCCAGCTGGAAAAATATTGTGGTGGTAATTTTTAGGGTTTTCCTATACATTTCCTGTAACACTTCCCCATGTAGTCCACTAATTCCTCTGGAATATGGGAATCCAGCACAGAACACAGGAACAAACATGCAATTAAAGTTATTTATTGTAGGTTTTATTTTCTGGACTGACAAAGAGGGTTTCCCAGAGATCGATAACACGACACAATGTTATACACCATTTCACAACTAGTCCCTTGTCGCTTTATTAAGAACATAGTAATTTAAAAATATCTAAATATTTACATATTAATAAAACATATATACAGAAGATTGAGACATTTTTACCTAAATATGGAATGATTTTTTTTTCTTCTAATAAACCCTATAAAAAGATTTCTGAAGAAAGTCTGAACAGTAGTCACAGTAAGTAAACACAAATGCAATCTTCCAAATTTACAAAATGCTGATTCCATTGCTGAAGGGTTACGATACGGACATGACAGACCAGTGTCCCCTGCCCAACGCAGGCAACTCCAAGCTACGAAGGAAGGAAAGACTCAAATTTTAAGGTTTGCAGTGCACATTCGATCTATTCCACAGTTTCAGAGAGAACACGGTCATTCCTAAAAGTCCACGGCAGGTGGGTGGGGAAGGGCTGGGAGCCTGGTTTCTCAGGTGCCAAGAAAACAAACCAGTCCTCGTTGGCTTCGGCGTTATTTGTGGGCATTTATTGACATCTGAGAAAACAGGCTTTAAGGTTGTTAAAAAAAGAGATTAAATATTTTGCAAACCATCCCACTCTGTAATAGCACTTCTGTTGAGACACTCAAAGGCCAAACAGTTTCCAAAAACAATAAAAAAATACACAGGGAAATGAAACACAGTGGTAAAGGCTCTAGCAAGCTCTCCCTTGAATTGCAGGAAACAAACTGCCTGGTGATTGATAGATGTTGCACGTAAGACCTCCTAGACTTTTCCCCGACATTTTAAAAGTGGATTTAGTGCTGATAAAAGGTGCAGAAGTGAAGGTTTGCGTGGAAGGCTGCATATGATTTTACCTTAGCCCTGACCTGAAAGGACCGACCCTTTCAGTGTCTGTGATGGTAGTGCCATTTCTTGATCTATTCACTCATCTTAACCACAGAGATATCAATAGAGTCCCAGTGAAAAGGTGAGGTGTTTTTTTTTTTTTTAAATAAGTGAATTTTGTCACCAAGGGCAGCAGTTGAAAACTCACAGTGTGCAGACCTTCTTCCTGGAAACTGGCAAACTAATATGTCTTGAGATTGAGGTGGCAGGGCAAGCTGGGTGGGGGAAACAAGGGGAGAATGACCACGTCCAGCGATCTGCACTACAAAGATGCTCAAGAGCCATCCCTAGGACCACATAGTGGAAATCGTTTGAGGAATAGTTTCTCCTTGCTATCAGTAGGAAACCAGGCACTGCTGGGAGGAATTCTGCTTTATTTCTGCTAAATCCAATGAGGACTTTCTAATGACAGCTGCGTACAACTGGCTGTCGGTACCACAACAGCCAGGAAAGGAAAAGTCGGTCTGCAGAAGCAAAGAGCTTCGCTGAGTCAATGCTCATTGAGGTTTGTGATGGAGAGAGATGTCACCCTGGTCCCTGGGGATGGGAAGAGTCACCCGACTGTGTGTATTCACCTGTGCGTGGCTTAAGACAACACACTGCTGGCAAGCATACAATCACATGGAAAAACACAATTGTGGAGGAAAAACAAAGTCAAGAGAATATCTTCAGAGTGCATACCCCGATAATTAAATAATGCATTGGATACGGAGGGAAATCATCTTTAATTAAGATGAAAAAAAGTGAAGCAATCTGGCAGGTTCGTTATTTGAGGTTACATGGAAAATGCATGAAACAACACAAACATGAAGGGAAAATGGTATGGACGTCCACGCCTTGCAGTCGCTGAAGTTCTCGTACTGATCTTGTGGGAACATACAGGAGAGGATGTTTCTATCTGCTCAGAGCACTGATGCAGGATGTGAAATTCAAGCTGAAAAATCTGGGTTTGCGTCTATCAGATGATCTGTTGTGGTGTCGAAAAGGTTACCTGAAGGAAGAAAGAGTTTGAAGAAATCAGTCAAAAAATATACAAATTTAAGAAATCAATAATTTGCAAAAAAAATATTTCAAAATTATGGAAATTACATATTTGAGTTCTAACTTTAACGTGTGATGGGGCTGAACTGCTGGTGTGTATGCAGGTAGCGGCTACTGAATTCCATTTAAAGTAGAGCTCCACTAGCTAAAGAAAGCAAATTAAATTGATTTTTTTTTTTATTAAATACAGAATTTACCAGCAAAGTTTTTTCACAAATTGTATAGCGCACCCCACTTCAGATATAAAGCTCTGCATTAGACTTCGGCACAAACTGCACTGCGATGCTCATCCCTTTGAAGTTACGGTTCTGAAGAAGTGAAAAAAGCACCACATGAATTTTAAACCTAGAGTACACACTTTGGGATCTTCTTTGGATAAAAACCCCACCACTCCACAGCAGTCTAAATGCACATGGGAGAATACATACATATATATATATATATAAAGGTGCACAGTATGATTATCTCCCATCTTTTTAAAAGCACTTTAAGAATGTGCTTTTTCTAAACAGAACAATGAAAAGATGGACAGAAGAATTACAATGAGAGCGCTAAGAACACAGGGCAAATAGGAGACAGACATCAATCAGCCTGAGAAGCAAATACAGCCCAATGAAAAGGGAAGACTCATACAATCATGCACTGAAAGGATAAAGATTTATATTACAATAAAGGATTTATATTTAAGGTTTCAAAAAGTGTGGGTTTTTTAAAAGTTTTTCTTGTTATTGTATTTCAAGAGAAAAGGAGACAACCTATACAGAATTGGATCGTTGCTGTTTTCTTATCATTGGTTTCTTTACCAAGAGATTGCTCTCATCTTTTCACAAAGCTGTATCACCCCCAGACCTGAGGATTGGGATGTTAGTGTTTCAGGTTCTTTTAGGGATATCAAAATTCTTTCTCATCTTGAAATTAACCCCAGTGTGGAGAAACTATACAAACACCCAGACAGCTGTGGTCCAAAGCAAAGCTATAAGGAGGGTGCTCTCATGGTCCTGGGCTCATATGTCTTTCAAATGCAGTTTTCAAGATGAGCATTAAAGAAAAGGGTGTTGCAGCTGGCTTACATTTGGTTCCACATGCAGAACTTACGGGTTATGCTTTCCTTTTTTTTTTTTTTTTTTAAATAAAACATAAAATCCAGATGCTTCATGAAAATTATAGACCAAAATAAGATGAGCCTTTTTGCAACACTGACTTATATAGAAAGACTCTAAAAGCTGCCACATCATCATCCTCATAAAGATCTATCTTACACCCTCCAGGTTCCTGTATCACGGAGAAACTAATCCGTCTTTCCACTTAGTCCACAGTCATTAACCCAGGAGTGTCTGACCTGTCTCAGCTCAGGTCTGGACACAGCTTTCAGCTTTTGGTAGGTGCAAAAGCTGGAACTGTGGAAGACCTGAGCTTTGATAACATTTGTTAGAGACAATTCTCCTCGTATTTTCTTGAGATGTATCTGTCAATGTACCAAAGTTCCCAGCAAGTTTAACTGCCATAGTTCTTCCAATTTACTTTAAACACCCTTCAATCAACAGCTTGCAAAGGAAAGGCCCTCTTAGCGTCAAGGGCGATTTTAAAACAGAAGGATGATTTCTGCTTGGAAGTGCTAAAATATAATTGGGCAAAAATGTCTTCCTTAGTTTTATGAGGACGTACCAGCTCCATTTTTTTTACAAGACTTTTAAGTTCCAAAAGAGAGTTTTGAAAATAAAACACCCTCTGCTCTCAAAATACCAAATAACTGCACTCAGAGCCTATTCCTGCCGGCACCAGAGAAGAGACACCTCCAAATATGACCTTAGCAGATCTGACCTCTCTGGAAACAGCTTTCTTCCCACCACGGTGAAGAGAGCTGAGAGCAACCACACTTCTAACTGAGGTGTCTGTCAGCCATGGGCTGGGATCTGAACAACAGGCAGGTTGAGGCATTTCAGCATCAGTAGTCCCTGTACACCCAGATCTTGTTCATAATGTCACCTGCATCACCAGCAGGGTTGACTGCACAGGAAAGGCAGATCAAAGGCATCAGAGTTTTCCCTTTTTCATTTGCACCAACACTTACCATTGATCCAAGTAATTCACTCTGGGTGCTTTTGCATCACAAGCCTGTGCAATTCTTGAAGACCAAGAGAAAAACCATCTTTCATAAAGAGCTTCTGTACCTCACCTTTTCTCCCCATCCAGTCTCCTGCAAGACCCCCCACTCAAGCAATCCGATTGAGTCTGGTTTTATTCTGCCAACACACCAGGTTAACCACCAATCACAGAATCATCAAATCATTTAGGCTGGAAAAGACCCTTAAGATCATCGGGTCCAACTGTAAACCTAGCACTGCGATGTCCACCACTAAATCATGTCCCTAAGTGCCACATCTACACGTCTTTTAAATACTTCTGGGGATGGTGACTTAACCACTTCCCTGGGCAGCCTGTTCCAGCACTTGATAATCTCTTCAGTGAAGAAATTTTTCCCAATATCCAATGTAAACCTCCCCTGACGCAACTTGAGGCCATGATTTATCTGATATTAGCTGTCATCTGCAACCGAGGCCCATTGCGCCAAGCACTGTACAAACACACCGTCAGAGAGACTCTTCCCCAAAGATTTTTCAAGCTAAACAGAGAAGACAGCTGAATAAATCACATGAAGGCTCTCTTTAGAGAACCTGTCAGTAACACCCCTTTGTAAAACCAGCTGTACTAAGGCAGGCAAAGACCTCTGTAGAAGTCATATTCCACCTCTTTTGCTACACTCCTTGATAGAAAGCATCTGTATTTTGGCTCTCTGTTATAATTACTGTCATTATACTGTCTGTATATCACTTTAAATCATTTGCTTCCAAGAACAATATGATATTACATGGATGCGTACTAGAAAGAGGCACTCGGTCACGTATAATAATGGGTGTGAGTCAAACGTTTGGCTTACAGCCTGTGGGCATCGCCTCCCCCACCGCTGCAAACTGCAGCATGGTTTATTTAGGCGTCCTTCCACAGATAGTACGGAGAGGTAGCCATCGCAAAGGAAACATTTCAGCTCAAAAACTGCATCTGGGGATGCTCAAAGGTGTACAAGCAAGCAAACTGCAATGGTGATCTGCTGTGGGGTGGAAAGGGAGTCATCTTCTCTACCCCAACCACCTCAGCACACTCCTGTCCAGCAACGATGTACGATGCAAGCAGTAACTACAGAAACTGCGTTCAAAGCACAGCAATCTGATAATTCTGCTCCTTAATACGATTACCAGAGCAATGAAAAGATAACACTACATCACATTAGCAACCTTTATGAGAGTCCTCTTGCCACGCAATTGCTTCCCTCCCTGATAAAAGAAACGAACAGGATGTCACTTGGAAGAGACCTTTCAAACCAGAGCTTCCTGCATCTATTATCACAACCGTACCCTGCGATACTCAGCGGACGGCCAAGAAAGCAGCACCGCGGCTGCCGTCAGCGCGTGCTCCCAGCCCCCACTGGGTCCATGCCAGATCAAGACTATAGCTGCTTGTCCTCCCAACTGCTTCGCTGCTCCTATTCCTTAGTAACTGCACGTGCTCCGACAGCGGGATTTCAACCGACAGCGCTCCACGGCTGGCAGCTGCTGCTCTGGCACACAGCAGCAGTGTGTGAAAGCTCCTTCTCCAGCCCTTATGCAAGAGAGATTAGGTTGCACAAGGGACTGATGCTGCGATGAGACTCTCCTGACCACCCCATAGCCTCCAGGTACTGTGCCATGCGCGCAGCACCCCAGGATGAGCCCTGTCCTGTTCTTCACAGCGATAGCATCGCTGATCTCCAACCACCCATTGTTGTTACACCTTAGGAATATGATAACAACGCACCGCAATCTGTGAACCTGCTGGTCTGCTCTGGATCTTCCTTGCTTTTTCTTTGGCTTTGGGGATAACAGGCAGCATCTTGGTGACATGACAGGGAAATGACCCTGTGGTGCAGGGAAATGATCATCTCTGCCCCACTGGATTTTCAGAGGACAGCAGCTCAGTTTCTATCATCAGGGCACCTACTGATGGACTGACTCTTAATGAGAGGGTGCTTCAAATTTCAGTCTCAACCTGTCTTGATTTCAATACCACATGCAACAGCGTGCAAAACTTTTATTTCCTAGCCCACACTGCTGCACAGTGATGCTGATGTTTAGCAACTGTCAGGCTTTTAAGGCAGGGTGGCTGCACTCCAAGAAAAAGCAAACCAACACTTAACTGGCATATAAATATCTTTGCAAACCTTCTGTGAACCCAAGATATTATTGCTAATGCCTTTGACAACTGAACAGATGCTACAAAACAAATTATTGTGTCTGTCTCTACCAATAACTTTGTTAAGAATTCAAAAAACTCCCACAAATACCAAGGATGAGCACAAGTCCCTATCTGGCATAAGAAGGGTAACTTACCAGCCTTATTAGCTTAGCTGCTACCACGAACCTTGAGATTTTATGAATATGAACTAGAGGGTAAAATTGTAAGATTCTGATGTATTTGTTTTAAATACAGGCCGTTCAAAACTTAAGATAGCTGGGTCCTGTGTGAAATTACCTGACTTGTATATGGCATGCCAGGATTATTGAAAACTGTTTCTGTGCCATATATAAACAACCACACACATTGGAAGCTGATAAAAATTTTAATACATTTTACCTGTTTGTAGTAGAGAAATGTCCAGCTTCTCATCACAGTCAGTTGCCTCTGCTGATTGCAAATATAAACAAGAAATCTCATTACTTTTACTGAATACAGGAATTCGATTAAAAAGCTACATACTGTAGAGTGTTTTTTGCATTTTCTGTCTACTTGCCTCAGCTGCAATTTGCTATTGCTCAGTTAAAAACTCACTGCTTGAAGGTAAAGGTCATATAATAAAAATGCAAACTTAGAAGAGGCAGCTGGGTTTTAAGAAGCAGTTGTGCCAGCAATAGGATGGAGTAACACTTGCTCTTTTTAAGGTTTCAGGATATCCAGATGATAAAAGGAGTTGTGATCATTTGATAAAATCACATAAGAAAAGTCCCCAGCGGTCCTTGGAGGAAGAGCCTCTCAGGCTGTACTCCACCCTCTGATAGCTGCCTGTGGGGAAACCACAAATACCCCCATTTCTGCACCCAAACTCCCTGTGACCACGGGCAAATTCATTTTTCAGGGGACAGGTTTACCAGGGCAAAATGTCTGCAAAGATGCAGGTGTGGGCACCCGGTGTAATTACAAAAGCACGTAATCACTTAGGTACACAGGCAATTGCAGCGTGTGTATACACACGTGCTTTCAACCCACAGCTTATGCAAGATCATTTGACTTAATTTAGCCCACAGTGAAGGAAGGCTAAAAGCCTAATTTGTGCATCTTGTATTTGCCACAGGCCAAGGGTATGCAAAGAGATAGTCAATTTGGCTCAGCAGATGTGCAGTGACTTGTTAGACTGTAGTACCCTGGAGTGTGCCTGTGAATCCTGAGTAAGTTGTAGGCGTGGAACAGGAAATTGCTGCCTAACCTACACAAGCCCTGTTCAAAATCCTGTTACCTTTGGCTTTAGGCAGTTCAGGGTGATATGTAAGGCCTTTGAAACACAACACTTCAGCAAATTAGGTGTGGTCCTAAAGGACCAGCCCATGACATTGTACACAGTCAGTGTGGTGGATATATATCTGCTCACATCCATTCACTGCAAAATATTAATAGGTGTCAAATCTGATCAAGGCTACAGTCGTACGGAGCAACTTAGTTCAGCTCCCTCTTGAAACTAAGCTAACTGTCCTGGTCACCTTTATCATGGCTCTGTGCACGAGGATGTTGAGTTGCTGCCTTTATGATTACACTGTAAGAAGTACTAATCCAGCTCCTGATGTACATTAGTTTCCGAATGTAGATCCATCAGACCCTGGTTCTCCATCCCTGGATCAAGAGGTTGCTTGCCCTCTCCCATGTGCATGGATGTCAGATTAGTTGTTAGCTACAGGCTCTCTACTCAGTTCTGCAAAATTAATTGAACTGAAGAAAACAGAAACAAACTAAAACCCCTAGTACTAAGCAACTTTCTTCCCACAGAAGGTTTAAATGAGAACTCTGACAAGCACACAGCATGGACCTGCAAGTGACTCGGTGCCTTGAATAAATACCTTTTTCCGCTTTCTGTGAGAAGGTGACACACTGAGCAGAAACAAATTAAGTGCTAGGTACAGCCTACTGCGAAAATCTTGAATTCGGGAAGGAACGGGTGGCTCAATAAACAGGAAGAGTTTATCTAGGCTGATTTGAATCTGGACTGGACTCTCCCAGCGATGGAAGGACTGGATGCGCAAGGGCGGAGACAGCATGGTGAAATGAGCAGCTGAGAAACAGCCAACAGGACACACATGGCTTAAAGCATCTGCAGTGACAGTCTGAGGCCAACTTCTAGCTATGCCTGAAGAACTACCTGTACCAAACGATTCTGCAGCACGGCTACTCAGCATACAAGAGACGAAGCTGTAACTGGCCTGTTGGGTTGAAGGGGCCCAAGCTATGAAAACGGGGGAAGCCAGATGTGAGTGCTGACAATGGGCTGGAAAGTCTTCCCTCTACTGGTATCAGGGTTGATGCCAACCAGGCTGTCTGCTCAAGTGATAGGTTTTCTAGAAATCTCAGCAGTGACTCTTGAAGTAGCTCTAGAGATGTGGTTGCCTTTCTGCGTAACTGCTCTTCTTACAGGTGGCTAAAATGGAACTTGGGAAGGCAGTAATAGAGAAAGAAACAACTGGAAGCTCAAAAGTACCTTGCTTTCAGAAGATAAGAGCTTAAGTCTCCAAATTTGCAGAACCAGCTTAGTTGATAACAAGGTTACCTGGCCATTTTAATCTGGCACAAGACTGATAGATGAGGTCCAGCCCTCCACCAGTTGTTCCAGTCCCGTTCCTCATGGCAACACAAATGTTTATATGGTCACCAAGATCAAATCTAGTTAAAAACTGACAACATCACCACGTGAATGCTTGTGCCAGTGCCAGAAAGGGAGCGGGAGCATGGCAGATGCCCCGACAGCCTCCTCACTCTTCCCAGTAGCTGCCAGAATTTGTTTTATGAAACTGGATGTGTAACCGCAGCTCCAGGTGAAGTATGACACAAAGGCATGACAAACACCTCGACCTCCTAACATGGATGTAAACCACCAGCTCCTCACATGTCATTCCAAGCAGGAAAGAAGGCTTGCCATCGCCAACCGCACCCAGAGACTGCCAGCCAAACCTTACTTGTCTGGAGCCAGCCTGCAAGACAAGGCAAGCAGGAATAGATCCCGCTGTGAGAATTCGGAGCCTCTTTTCTGTCCTTTGCTTAGATAGAGCTCAGTAGCTCTTGCAAAACAATCCTGATAGTTGTTTCCTTAGAGTGCCTTTTTTCCCCCCTAAAAAAAAATTGTTTAGTTTCTGATGTACACATTTGTCTGCTAAGTGTACACCTGCTGTTTTGCTCTTTGGGCAGAACTGCATGCAAGCTCAGGGCTGGGAAGATGAGTGCAGCAGTTACGCATTTTAATATTGCTGTCTTTAGCTAAGATACTGGCCACAGAAGCACTGTACCACATGTTGGACTTGCATCCTGCATCCTTGCTGGCCCTGTGTGTACTGCTAAGCAAAAAATCAACCTGATCTCTTGCAACATGTAGATATTGTATCAAAAACACAAACCATGGAAATCAGAAGGATGAAGAGAAACAGAAAGCAAAAAAACCTCATCTGAGACAATGGAAGCAGCAGTCTGAACAAGAATGTGGGAGAAAAGGTGTATTTCAAGAAAAAAAGGTAAGCATCTTTTCTTTCTTCATTCCCACTATTTTACATTGCAACAAGGTAATGTTAATTTTAAACAACAATTCAAGGATGAAACATCATGACATGCAATTTATTTAAATTAATCCTGCCTGAAAAATTTCAGCATGTTTTCTAAGATTGCCGTATTTTCCTTTCTGGAGCAGGGCAATCAAAAGCTTCCAGGTTACGCACAAGGTAATCACTTGGCATGAACAGCTCTCGCCCTCTGTACTTCGGGAGTATTACTCATCCGCTATCAGCTTTCCTGTCTATGCAACGGACAGCCGTTACAGAATAATGGCTTACAGGCTCTTCAAAACATAAAAAGGGAGGAAGAACTTACTGCGAGAGATGTGTGGCCCCTGACCTACCGCTTATTAATGGATGGAGAGTTTAGTAATCAAAAGGCTTGGATGCTATGTCTGGCACAGAGGTGACATGAACAGCAAGTCAGTTCCTTCTGATTTTACTCGTTTTAAGATCTCTATGCTAATGGTCGACTGTCTCCCTCTGTGCTGCCACTGGCAAGGCCACCAGACCCCTCCCCATCTTCTCGTTTGCAGGGTGAAAAGACCACGCGGTGGGAAACCCGCTGCTGTAAATTACAAGGCAATTTGCATCGTAACTCATGCTGCTTTAAGAGAGGAAACCTATGCACCTGCCTTTTCCTTTGACTTCTTCCCTTCCAGCACCACTTTGCATCCCATCCCAGCAGCCAAGAAGGTTCAGCTTCTCTTTTAGGAGAAAACAGATCTGGCACTATGAAGCTGTGCCCCAGTACGCTGTGCTGTTGGCATGAAATGGGACCAGTAGTCAAGGCTGAAGAATATTATCATACTCTTTAATTTTAATTATAACATCTGTTTGTAACATTAACCTCACAGTCTCTTCTCCTGTTCGTGACAGCCAACTTGTGAAATTTTGAAAAGACTGAACAAGGCCAATAAAAATTTAATGGCAGTGACAGCTTTATTCTCAGATCTAACAAATAAAAAAAGCCCTACCCAAGTCTCAGATCTCAAGCAATAATCTAAAAGAACTAAGAAAAAAGCCAAAGCAAAATAAATAAGTTAAAAAATAATATTTCCAGCTATGAAAAATATTGTCACTGGTTCAGAACTTAACTGAATTTTTATTTGGCTTAGGATAACAACCTTTCAAAATCCACACAGGGGAACTATTTTCTAGAAAGCAGAATTTTTAAGTGTTTTTTTGATTAGCTTTCCAAGTAGGAAGCTTTTCAGTCCCTAATTCTAGGAGATGAGCCAAACGTGATACATAAGGTTGAAACTGGGCAGCTTCTGTGATCCAGTGATCATGATTTCATTTAATTTGGAAACACTCAGGAGAGTACGCCCTACAGAAAGAGGTAAAAAAAGCAGATCTACCCCACTCATTTGCTAGAATTCTCTGAAATTAATAATATCACTGAAAGCTAGAGCAGGATTTATGTTATCAGACTGAAATAATGTTTCACAGGATAAAGCAGAGAGGGCTGCTCATGAATGCAGTGTCTTACTGCCTCGTTTGAAATGAAAAACTAATCAGAGGATATACTAAATGGCTCAGGGGAAGGTAAGCAGGAGGGAAAGCCTGCCCCTCCTTTCTTAAATACTTCTGCTCTTAAAATTTAGCCCAACTCAGTGGTGACTAAAAAGTTGCCTTGTGGCTTCTGTAAAATAAATGGATCATCTTAAGACTTCTCTATATACAGCCTGCGCATTACGACAGACCAGAAATCGATGAAGATAAATCAGTGTGACCAGGCAGCAGGGAGACACATTGGCTCAGAAACTTCTGGGTGAATTTAGCTTAACCCTGGCTCAGATTTGTTCTTTGGGCACCTTAATCAATACCCACAGACTTGGCTGGCATGTTTCAGTGAGCATGTGGAGATTAAAAGGAATGACCTGGGAGTATGGACACCGAGGATACTCGCTCAGCCTCTGCTCCACCGGCCACACACAGACTGGAAGAGGGATGAGTCCCACGTCTCAGTGGCTACGATTCCCACAGTCTTCAGATTCTTAAAAGATAACTTTTGCAATGTGTAGTCCTGGGACACTTTCTACCCTACGCAGGTCAAACCTCTCTCCATGCCTGCCCTCCCCTCCTGTTTTGGTCTCTGTAAGTTACGCACAGCCGTAACAATTTTGGTATGGCTTCATGATTAAAATGTGCATAGTTCCCGCACAAACCAGTTTTATATCAGGATAAAACTGCAGACTATGCTAGCAAGCATCGCAACATCCTTCCCTCGGTGCTGTAGACCTCCCCAGGCATCTGCTAACAGTCAGTGCTGGAAACAAAATACAGGAGTAGATGATCAGCTCTACATCACTCATATCAGAAGCTCGCGGTTGTAATGCACAAGCACTAACAAATCTTGTTTCAACACGATGAAGACGTTACTGCAACCAGTTGTCTGCTCCTGCCTCTCTGCAGCTATCGACTGCTTTACGGTCACACAGGCTGTGGAAACTTCTCATTTGCTTCACTGCAAGGTCAGCTGGGGTTAGCTTAAGCCACCAGTGAAGGTGGTAGTGGATGGTAAGGTGCAGATGGCCATGGTGGTGTGTTCAGTCACTCCTGCTAGATCAAAAAGAGCATGTCTGCCCGTGGCCTCATGTCAGAGAGAAATCGGTGCACTTCAGGGAATGGCCAGCAAACTAAATAACACAAAAAAGAGCCTTTCTAGCAATCCAGTTACCATGCACTTTTTTCCCCAGCAAATAAACCTGAGGGGCTGCTGGGTACATCGCTGCTCACTACTATCCACATTCTGGTTAATGAGTTACCTTCCCTCTGCAGGCAGAGACAGATATTGGAGCCTATCTTATTTAGTCACACTATACTCAGCCTCACTTATTTTCCTTCATAGTCTTGCCAGCTTAGAGGAAATATCTTCTGCCTAGATTTTCCCATCCTGAGAAAGAACCAGAGATGGAGGTGGCCCATTTGAAAGGCGAAAGCTGAATGTCATTGTCATTTTAATTAATATCCTGCAGAGGCACGAAGAAAAGCAAATAATAAAGGATGAAAGAAAATAAAAACCAAAACAAAATGAGGTCAATCCTCTTTCCTGAGGGATCTTCTGCAGACAGCCCAAGGACCCTCTGCTCCCTGCATCCTGCACTGCTGTCTTCACTCCTCTTGAAGCCTGGCATCCCAATTACACCCTCCTGTCCTGGGGGGGAACAGGCAGCCTTGGAAGGGGCAGAAAGCAGTCCTGTTGTACAATACAGGAATCTGACACTGTCTTTAACAAGATTATCTTGTATCCCTCTCTCCTCCCTCCCCCAACACGCACAAGAAACCCTTTTTAAAGCTAGTGCTGGTTTGCTGCTCTATTCAGGGAAGCTTATGTTACTGAATAATCTGCACTTTTTTTTCTCTCCCCTGTGTTATTTCTGTCTCTGGGTGTTCTTAATTTTCCTCAGTCTTATGCTTTTCCCTCCTGGCATTAATAACGTTGTGGAGAGTGATTTCAGATGCCAGTCTAAGTGTGTGTGTTTCGAGGCACAGCTTTGGACAGAAAACGTTGGCTCTCTGAGACAGGGAGCTGGAGAGGACGTTTCCTGTGGTCTTGCTCATCCCTCCGTAGCCACAGGGATCACCAGCATCCCCTGCAGAGCCATCAGTTTTCCCATCCCATCAACCCATGGATGTAAACAGGCAGTTAATTGTGGTGAAGGGCAGAAGGGAAGAGGGGGAAAGGCAGGCAGCTAAAAACGGTAACAGTGAAGGACTGTGTTTAAGGACGTTGGCACAAGTGATGTGCCTCAGACAACAATGCCAGATCCTCTGAGGGGGCGATGGACAAGAACTACAACCATGAGAGAGCCTTAAGAAAACACTACGATGGGGAAGAGTAAGTGAAGACTTATATGAAGAAATCTAGGAGGCGTGAAGCTGGGAAGGAGACTAGTTAAGGTTTATAACGTAATTACACTTCTCTTAATCAGGGATATTGCTTTCCCATGAATTCTGCTGGGGATTTCAAGACTACATGTTGGTGTTCATCACTGGAGCTAAGAGCTCACCAGCTGCATGCCACCAGGGTGAAAGCTTAGCACTGAGCCTTCAGGCTGGTCCCAGCCCCAAGCCTGCAGGTTATCCCAGCCCAAGTTGAGCAGCTTTGCTGCAAAACTCTAGCTAAACCACCTGTTACTCACTGCCAGCAAGCTGCCTCCCATGTAGGACCTTGCTGGCACAACAAGAGTGGGTGGGATTTTTTTTTTTTGCTACAGTGATGCTGAGAATGTGAGAAAACTCATCTATCCTCCCAGACACATAGTTTAGAGAAAAAGGTCATGTGGGTTATGTTTTAACAGTACAGTGACTGGCTTGTCAGACCAAATAACACAGAATTAAAAAACAGCTCCCTGCAACCCTGGATGGATCATGGCTAGTTTAGGACTCAGATTTCATCAGACACTGGGAAGAAGAGTTTGGGTGCTAATGGAAAGGGGTTAGAGACAACATTTGAGAAAGACTCAAAGTTAACTTGGCTGCAAAGACAGCTCCTAAACTTGCTACCATACCAAACATAAGGAAACACTGCACTTTACACAGAAATTTGTAAAGGTCCAGTTTTCATAGAGTGAACATGTACAGCTCTACAATCACCAAGAAAAACACTACTGTGAATACAAAGGCTCTGAGCTTTTAATCTTGCACTGTATTTTCATACATACCTGAGCCTCTTTTTAATCGTCTTCTTGCAAGTTTAATTTGATCCTGAAGAATCTGGACCCAGTCCCTAGGACCAGGAAGTTTATCCACATTGTTAGCAGTGCAGTATTTTTCTGTAAAGACTGAAATAAAAAGATACCATCATTTCGAAATATGCCACCAGCATGGAGAAAAGGAGACTGGAGAGGATTATAAACAAAATCTATCAAATTATCCACTTATCAAAAAGCATTGAAATGGACAAATCTCGGACTGCAAGAACAGAGTCCAACTCAGCATTTAACAAGTTTCAGAAGTCATTTGTGTGTACAAATATCACAGTTTTCATAGAGTGAACATGTACAGCTCTACAGTACAGCTCTACTCTATAGTCACTGATTATAAAAGCCTATCCCAGAGAAATGGTCTACACCTGATGTCTTCAGTTCATGAATTTCACACAAAAAACAACACTGAAAAATAATAGTGTACTTTTAACAGAGTCGCTAGATGTGGCAGGTATTTATAAATGCTGCCTTTGATATCGTAGAAGTAGAGAGCTGAAGATCCGGTCATTTGGTGGCCTCTTGGTCAGGTTCCTAAGGCTGCAGGCAAAGTGATGAAAGATAGAAGTCCTATCACTGTGGAAATCTCTACAATCTCTTTTACAAAGCTACCAAACAAAAAAAAGCCATTATTGAGAAAAGAAGTATCCTACAGGTCCAATTTTATATTTTGTAAAAATTGTACATAGAGGGTCAACATTATCTTTAGTTCCACATTTACAGCAAACATAGTGATGTTATATGAAAAATACAAAATTATAAATGGAGCGAAACTGATGCAATTGATTTTCATCATGCAACTGAGAGCTTTGTAAAAAATAAACAAGAGGAGAAATAGAAAAAATATTATTACGGTTAGTATTGCTATTGTAGTCTTGATCAGAGGTCTCAGAGCCCAGTGTCCAGTTATGAATGGCAAACAAAGAAAGAAAACTGGTCCCAGTTCAAGGAATTTGTAATCCTTGAGAATAAATGCCACACAAATGGGATGGGGAAGAATGCAACAAAAAAATTACAATTTCAGTATTTTTATACACACGCTTTTGAAACACCGCTAGCTGGTATAAAGGGACCAAAAGTAATCACACCCTCTGAACTCTTTCCATGTTAACAACTTCACAAAACTGTTGCATGATAGGCAACAGCAATACTTTCCTCTGTAGTCTGATCAGCAAGAACATCTGATCAACTCTGAGGGCTTCCCAGAGAAGTCCATACAGCCCCACACATTGCCAGTGTTCCATTTGCAAAAATTACGGTCTCTCTGAAGGCAGAAATAATCTTTCCTTTCTGCATCCATACAGTACCTGACACAACGGGAACCTGATCAATGACTTAAGACTCCTGCTTCCTTCAAATACACAGCTGCAGTTCCTGCCTGTGACCAGGGCCTGGGGACAATCTGTGACACCAGCTTGGACCCAGGCCACCCACCGCAGGTGCCCGCCATGGAAATTACAACCACTTTCCCGCTCTGTACGGGAAACCAGAGTCTGGCAGCCTTGGAGAGCCAATATGTTAACTTGCTTGTCTTTTCTAACTCGCTCCTTGTTCTCTTGAACAGAAGTCAAAACAGCTTTGACTGCTCAATGTGTGGTGAGGGAAACACCAACATGGGCAAAAAATGAATGGGAATGCAACAGGAAGGAGACCTCCCCTTTCTAGTCCACCTGAGCTGTGTGGTGTTAACAAACCCCTATGGTCGCAGAATCAGAATGGTTTGGGTTGAAAGGGACCTTAAAGATCATCGAGATCCAACCCCCCTGCCAGGGGCAGGGACACCTCCCACTAGCCCAGGTTGCTCAGAGCCTCATCCAGCCTGGCCTTGAACCCCTCCAGGGACGGGGCATCCACAGCTTCTCTGGGCACCCTGGGCCACTGCCTCACCACCCTCACAGTAAAAAAAATTCTTCCTTATGTCCAACCTAAATCTACCTTCCTTCAGGTTAAAACTGTTCCCCCTTGTCCTGTCACTACAGGCCCCTGTAAAAACTTTCTCTGTGTCTTTCTTATAAGTTCCCTTTACATTTTGAAAGGTCTCCCCAGACCCTTCTCCAGGCTGAACAACCCCGACTCTCTCAGCCTGTCCTCATACAGGAGGTGCTCCAGCCCTCTGACCATCTCTGTGGCCTTCTCTGGACTCACTCCAGCAGCTCCATGTCCTTCCTGTGCT